GCTTTCCCACTGCTCGTGACTTGGACTGAAAACAGGATTTATTGGTGTGTTGTTTACCTTAAGGCTAACACCTTTAAAACTGTCTGCAGAACACATATGTTAAGCTAGACCAGCATATCAGGGTGGGATAGTGGCTGAGGCAGGATTCACCTACCCCAAAATGAATAGAGTTGTGTCTCCAGTACTTCACAAGCAAGAGTCTGGGGAGCAGAAGAGTTAGTACCCTGCTGAGCAGCAGTGATACAAGGGGATCCAGGAAGACAGAAGGACTTGGGGACCTTTTACATCATAAAAATAATTCCACCTTGCAGTTACTTATACATGTAGAAGAGGCACAGCTTGTTCATTTCCAAAATGAGCAACAATAATCAAAGAAGGGAAATTTGCTTCTCAAGGACAAATTGCTCTCACAGTGTAAAAGTCATATAGGTAAATATACCAATAAAGTCATCATGGTAAATATATAATGTAGGAGTCGTGTAACACCTGTATTTCACATTTCTGAGAAGATTCGTGAGTAGGGCTCAATTAACTACAGTTTTGCCTTCACTGGCAGCAGGAGAGTACCAGAGGTTCAACCATGAAGATAGATTAAAAAAGCTCAGTGGACAACAAAAATCAGCTTGTTTTAGAAGCTAGAACTCAGTTTAAAATAGAGATCATTATAAAGGGAAATAAATTAGCATAATTTAACAATTTGGGTTAGACTACTCAGCAATCAGCTCAATGAGAGGATCAGCCCAAACTGCGAAAAGCGGATTACATCTTAGATGACCTCTCATTTACCTGGCTACCTTCTCACAGCACCTTAGAACACATTCTGCAGAACATTCCTGATTCACCCCTCTCTGCCAAAACAACTGGATTCTCTGCCATGCACTTCCAGACTCAAACCCCAAGTACGGTATTACATTAAGCTGACAAATCACAACACAGACTGCTGGAACCCCGAGCACTCCAAATAACATGTCTGGGTTTCATATCAAAATAGAATTATTAAAAAAGACCAAATTCCGGATGTCCCATACATTATATACCGCTGAGTCAGGCAGCACTTAAAGCACTGCATCCAGCCCTGCCAAGCCACCAGCCTTGGCCAACAGCCGAGAGCAACAAAGCGGGAAGACAAACGGACAACTGACCTTTACCACTGCTGGCAAACAATCCCTTTTTTCCCCTTCTTTCTGGTACAACACCTGAGTCCAAGAAGAATCCCAGTTCAGGAGTGAGGGCAGAAAGGTTACTTCTGGAAGCAAGGCTTTGGACTGTGACCGATCAGCAAAACTTCTCCCCCTTCCAGACTCTCCTTCTCTTTAATGGCTTCTCTCAGCTCTTGCCCTTTCTTAAACTTCCTTAATGATCCTTATCCCCCACAAGCTTAAGTACTAGGAATGATTTCAACTGTAATAAGAGAAGCCGTAACACTGCCAGTGGGGCCCAGTTTCTGTGAATTCTGGCTGTAGACTCCGAGCAAGAACACAGAGCAAACTCTGCATTGCTAGGCTGGTTCCCCAGGTCCTTCACTCTCTCTGCAACAAGCCACATCTCCAGGAAATCAGAGGAATAGGAGCTGAGCAATGGATTTAATGTATATACCACACAAGAGCCCTATGAGTGTGTGCTGCTAAAACCATTTCCTTAAAATTGAAGAATTTCACCTGTAATAAATCACAACATCCCATCAGAAACAGACCCCAGCAAACCCTCTAGTTCTTCAGTGAAGCATCTACCAAACGCTTTCAATGCGATTTACTCCTCTCCCAGCTGCTGTCTCGCTGCCATTAAAGAAAAATCTAAGGCAAAATCCCTCCATTAGCCTACTTTTTTCCTCCCTTTTATTCTATCCACCTTTCGTGTTCACTCCGCTTGGAGACCCCAAAGTGAGCCCAGACGAAGCCCTCCCGCCAGCCAGAGTCTCCCTGCTGTTCAAGATCTGGAGTCTGAGGAGCTGCAGCTCAGTGTTTTAGCATCAAAATTTGCGCATCAGCACAAGCACTGGTTGACAATTCCACAGACAGCTATTTATTGATCGTTGCCAATTCATTCCCATTAATCAAATTCCTGAAGTTTGCATTCTGCTTGTTAACTTCAGAATCCCTCCTGCTGCTCACTAAAATTGATTAGTTTTCTCAGGCCTGATTATCACTTGTCTCATTAAAGCCAGCATGCTGTGCTATCCTTAGAAGCAAAACCACTCAAAAATGGCATGACATCAATTCCAGCCTGTGTGGATATAAAGAGACATTCCAAGCTTCCCATTAAACAGGCAGATTAAATACAACCTGAACACCAGGACTGAACTGCAGCTTTTCTTCCCATATGTTCAGTCTGTAATTATTATGTTACTAATAGCCAAATAATTCTACCAACACCAAGAAATATTTCCTATTGGAACCTAAGCTTCTCAAAATCCTGGCCTCCACCTCTCACAATTAGTACCTAAAAAAAAAACAGACCACGGGAACCTGGCAAGAGAGCCCTTCCTTTGTTTCTAAAACAAATGCCAATTTTGTTAAATCTTCTGCAAGAAAAACAAACAAACCCACAATACATCACCTTAAACTAACCTAGTTTAGACCAAATATTTCTGACAAGGTTCAGGAAGAATGAGAATTCCTGCATCAAACCCATGGTTCATTAGTATCCCAAACATTGTAAAAAGATGATGGAGCTGCCTGAATGTTACGGAATAAAAATAATAAAGCAAACCCAAACAATGCTGTTTTTAGAACTGGACTTTGCGGTTTTAGTGTATAAAAATCCTCGGGAAGGAAGAACACCTTCCCTAAAGCCGAGAATAAAGAATTTTTATGCAAAACTCAGTTAGAAGCCACCTCAAAATTCTTTACACATTCCATAAAGAAAAAAAAAAATAAAAGTCCATTATCTTACAGTAAAAAGGAAGCAATAAAATATAAGACGACCTTGCAGGAAGCAAGAACGTCAACACGTGAGGCCCAGCGTGGATAACACCCGGCAGTGGTGGAGGCAGCTGGTGCTGGTGCTGCCGGGACATTCCCAGGACGTTCCCTGGGCTGTCCCGAGAGCTCCTCCAGACTCTGCCAGCCATCCCCACACTCCTGCCCATCTCTGCTTGCCCCTGCCAACACAAACACCCTCCCAAAATTGCCCCACAGAGCACCGGTAACATCTCCCACTGATGGCCCTTTCCCTGTAGGATCAGCTCTGCCCACGTTCAGAGCCTGAGTGGGATCTTCATCCCTCCAGGATTACACACACAGGACAGAATACTGGTGTCTGAAATTCCCCAAAGCTGGACAAACATCTCTGTGTGTGCTGGGCTCTGCATAACACAACCAATGCAGCAACTCCCAGAACTGTTCCCAAAACTGACATTTCCATTATCTCCAGGGAATCTGCTTTGTTAAACAGTCCCTGATGCCCTCCTCCCCAGTGTAGAAATACTTTACTTTGACACAGAGTTTATGATTGTCATTAAAGATACAGTGAGAGCAGGGGAAAAAAATCCACCAAAAAATCCCCACGAAACAAACTAAACGCAGAACTGCACTGATGATACAAAATGTGAGCAGAAAGGATTTCTATTCTCTCAAAATAAACAATGAGGTATGCTCAATATTCATATATCAAAATGAAATCTATCCATTAATTTTGATTTTCTTTTCTGGACCCCTTACACTACAAATTGTTCTAAACACTTCAAAGAAAGAAAAAAGCATGTACTGATGACAAAAATCAAAATCTATGAAAAAAATCAAGAGTGAAACTAAGCTAAAAGTTGTCTTCCTGAAACAAAGAAGAAATCCTCACCCACTTCATTCCAACTACGGGAAAAGGGAGCAAATATCGTGCAGGGAAAGCCCTGGGACTGGCAGGGAACACCCTGCGGATTGATTGCCAGCAGGGCAATAAAACCCAGAAAGTTAAACCAAATACTTCATTAAAAGCCTACAAATACTGGGTTTATGTATAGGGACTTGTAGAGCCATTTTCTAACAGACTCCAAAGCAAAATCCTCTGCCTCTACGGAGGCCAAACGTTGCTCTTTCAAGCAGTTGTTCAAACACAGGACAGATGAGGAAAACCTACAACTGGGTATTCATACTGAAAATTTACAACTAGGAGTTCACACAGAAATCCTAAGGAAAACTTGCAACTGGGTATTGATCCTGAAAACAAACAACTGGGTGTTCCCACTGGAATCAGAACGGAGACGGCCACAGCTGCCCACTGAGCTGCCATGGCCATGTTCACTCCTCAAGGAACGTTCGAATATCTGCACCTCTGGATTACTTATAGAAAATACAACTACCAAGGCACTTGCCACAGGCACTACTAATCAGCTCCCCTAATCCATTCTGCTCCCAAATCCCTCTCCCAGCAGCCCTTCTACCATTCTACTCTAGAGTTTAAATCTGACTGCAAATACTCTTATCTCTTTTAACGCCGTTATTGAACAAGCTGCTGAGTATTTCCCACTCGGAATCTTCTTGTCCATGTAAGGTAAATATGATACTGAGCACAACGAAAACTCGAGTTCAGCTTAAAATGTAATTCTAGAAATTTACCCGGCAACCAAGTTATTTTTGTGCATAACATTTAAGTAACACTAGGAAGGAAAAAAAAGCCCACAGTGATTGATCCTCTAACCCTTGGGAACGAAGCAGCTTTTGTATACACTTAAATACTTCCTTCCATACTGTCTGCATATGGATCCTGCTACCACGTACTCAATTTTCCCTTTAGGCAGTATCCTGAAAGTTTTATTTTTATTTACTTTTTAAAGCATGCTAGCTCCCCTCCTCTCTTTATCCCTTTAATACCAATAGTTGAGTAGTTGGTTAAAACTACTGTCATACTGTGGCAATAAATAAATACTCCCCAGAGAAGTCTGATCAGCCACACGTACAAATAGAAAAGGAAAAAAAAGGAAAAAAACCAAACAGCAAACCAGCATGCACAGGGTTGTGCTAAACACACTTGTAGCATTTTAATAAATAGCAACAAAAACTAATTACCTTGAATAGCCATTAGAGAAAGCAGGTCTGCCAGAAAGGTTGAGTGTTCCCAGAGGAGCCAACGCCTCGTCCCCTGATCCCTGGCACCTATTCCAATTTTCTGACCCGGCAGGAAGAGATGGAATGATATTAAAAATTGGTTTTTGATCCTGCTGCTGAGAGAGTGATGCAGTATTTAAGTCATAGTGGTACATCTGTCCCCCAGAGGTGCTGACACCGTGGATGGAGATGGCCGAGACTTTCGTACCCAGCAGGTTTGACCCAGAGAAGTTGGCCTGGCAGTAAAGTGGGCCCATGTTTTCCTGCTTGATGCCAGGAGTACAGAGTTCAATGAAGTCCTCCTTTTCTGTTTTCACTTGAGGCATTGGCATTTTGGAACTGGGTAAAAGGTCACCATGGTCATTAATTTTGGGTTTAGTGTCAGATATAATGGGAGGCTTGCAGTCTTCGCCGAGATTTCCTTCCAGGAGAAAGGCATCATCTGCAGATATGGGGGACAGCAAACCACCATCATCGAGCAACGGGTCCAGCCGCCACGGGCTCCCGTTGGGTTCCTTGCCAGGCGATACTGGTGGCAATTCTAAATCCTGGAGAATATCCAGGGTGCTTTGGTCTTCAGAAAACAACTTCAAGTTGCCACCATTTGAGCCAACCTGGCTTTGGACTGCAGTTCCCGACTCTAAAGGGGCGCTGCGGCCGGCCATGCCTGGGAAATCCGGCTCGAGCGGCACCTCAGAAGACACGGCTCCCTTTGCGTCCTCGGCCAGGCTCGAGGACTTGTTCAAGCTTGCAATACTTTCCTCCAAGAGCCTGAAGTCCGTTTCTCCAGAAGAGATGCCGATTTGGCCCTGGTGCGAAAATCCAAGGTCGTTTCCCATCACTTTTGTGTCTGTTTCACCCATGTACAGTCCCATCGAGAGCGACACTGCCTTGGAAAGGTCTGGCTGAGGCACATTGTTTCCTAATCCTTTTGAGAAGTCAGCCAAAGCAGGTTGCTGACTGGAATCTGACTGAGAAGACGCGGGAGAGGAGATGTAGACACAGGGGCTTGGACAGTAGCTCCACCCCTGAAGGGTGGATGGAAGTCCATCACGATCCCTCCTTTGGTACTGATGAGAGCATTTTTCCTTGTTTCGTCTTGATCCGACGTGTTAAGCAATTCTTTGGAATCCATTACTTTACCATTAACTATAAAAAGATCAGAAGGAGTCAAAGTTAGCACAGCAAGGACACATTAATAACAGCTTAAAAATATAAACTCTAAATCCTTCGCCTGGCGAGCCTAGTTCAACTGCTCTGAGAAAGAAGGCAGGGCAGACTACGCTATGAGCTGACACGTGCCATGTCCCTCAAACACAGTGCTTGTTTTCAGGGGTTTTAAATTTTTTTTTTCCTGTCTGGTCAGGAGGAAGCATATATTTTAAAGCTTTGCTAAATCTGCACACAACTCAAAATCAGGCTACAGCACATGACACCTCTCTGCACTCACTCTCCAGCTCTGTCACCCATCCCTGCTCAAAGGAAGTGTAAGGATTGTTAAAGGACCTGGTTTACAAATTTTGCAAGGTAAATTTTCCTGGTATTTAATTACACCTTGAGCAGGGGAGAAGCACATTTATTACCTTTCCCAGTCAGCTCCCTCACTGCCTGCAGGTCCCCCACTCACAGCAGCACGGAGCCTCCGGAGCCAGACAGACAGAACCTCCGTGGTTTGTTACCCTCCAGAAGTCACACAACCTCCCCACCACGAAACAGCCTTTGCCATCTTCGCACGGGTTCAGCTTAAAATGCAACTCACTAATCTCGAAGTAAACCGTGCATAATTCTTTAAATACATCTCCAATGTATAAATAAAAGCTAGTTCAAAATAAAGCCGGATTTTTTATTAGCTTCCAGCACTTTACCCGCTCACGGCGGCTCTCCAACAAACACACCGAAAACAAATCTCCCAAGTTTCGTCTGTTTGTATTTACTACATTTTCTTCCAGCAGAGAGCATAAATATTTGGAGAACCACTGTAAATTCTCCGGCAAACTTCCTATACAGTTTGTGTACGGCCCCCCTCGGAGCGCTCAGCCCGCACCGCCCAGTCCCAGCCGGCGGAGGGGCAATGCCCCACTTCCAGCCCGGCCACGGCTGCACGCCCTGAGCGCACTGACCCAACTCACAAGTTTGCAGTCGTCTTAATCATAAACGCGCGGCTCTGCCGCCCATTTTCCCCAGCCCCCGACACCGCTGCTATTTCTGTGTGCCAGAGTTAAGGCTCGATCAACAAAAAGGCCCCACGTGTAAAATTTTAAGGTGGCCCCGGCGAGCTTTGGTTTGGGGAAATCGTCCCGAGCGGGGGAGGCTCAACGCCAAAACCCTTCGTGGGCCTTCGGCAGCACCTCCCGCGGCCCTGCCATGTGCCGGGATGGGGGTCCCGTGCGTGTCGTGCCCCGGTTCCTGGGGCGATGGGTCTCCTGGTCGTGTCCAGGGAGCCGGGACACCGACGGCAACGGGGCACCCCCAAACTGCTCGGCTGTTTAAGGTGGACACCGCAACAGCGATTCGAAAAATGTAACTATCTACCTCCAGCTTTGCCTAGTTCTTTATTTCTTTTTCTTTTTCTTTTTTTTTTTTTTTACATGAAGGGAAGGAAAAATATAGTTATTCCATCTGACAATTCCCCCAACGTCAAAAAAATCCCCCAGGCAGGGAACCATCCAGCGCAGGAAACGTGTCAAAAACCAGCTGCTAGAGTCTGCCCAAAGGAGGAAAACGCTGCAAACACTTAAAACCACCGGATTGCAATAAAATCGCCTTTACAAAGTACAGTTTTCAGAGAAATGTGTCGGGACCTGTTGAGCCGTCTCCTGGCACACCCACTTCTGCAAAACCAGCCCAGCACGGGTCTCGGCTCCCTCTCCCCCTCCGCGTCCCCCGCTCCCCACGGACACACGCCGGGGCCAAGGGCCAGGGGTCCCCACTCCCCGCCGCCGGCCCCCGCTCCCGTCCCGCCCCGGGATCCTCCCGGGGGCGGCTCGGCTCGGCTCCCCCCGCCCCGGGCATTCCTGCGGGGGCGCCTCCGCCGCCACCCCCCCCTTCCCCTCCTCCTGGGAAGTTCCCGAGGGGGAAGCGAAGCCCCCCGCAGGACCCCCACCGCCCTTACCTCGTCCGGGGGAGGGCGCTGGGGCTCCTTCAGCCGCCCACAGCCATCGCACCCGTGGCGGGGGGCGGCAGCCGGTTGGGGGGGGGGAGTCAATAGCCGCCCCTCCGGGGGCCGCGGCGGCGACAGCACCGCTCCCCCCGCTGCTGCTCCTACCGCTGCTGCTGCTCCTCCCGCCGGCCTCAGACCCTGACCCAACCCCGCCCGCCGCCGCGGCGCCCCCTCTGTTAATTAGCGCTAATTGCCTGCGCGGACCTCTCCCCCTCCCCCCCGCGCTCCCCGCCCCGTCCCTCCGCGGGCAGCGCCGCACTCGGCGGTTCTGCCCCCGCCACAAAATGGAGGACGACGGCGGCGGCCGCCTCCTCCTCTTCCCCTCCTCCCTCCCTCCCTCCTTCCCTCCCTCCGCCTCCCCGACGTGCAGAGGGAGTGGAGACAGCCGGCTGCTGGAGGGGCGGCCACCGCTGTACGGCGGGGCTCGGCTCAGCCCGGCTGGGCTCGACTCGGCTCAGCACGGCTGGGCTCAGCCGGGCTCGGCTCTGCCCGCCGCCGCTCCTCGATCGTCTCCGCGGGGCAGCGCCCGCCCGCCCCAGCCGAGGGGGAACGGTGCGACCTGTTGGCCGAGGAGCGAAAGTGCAGCCCGCGGCCCCGCACGCCCGGCTCCCCCCTGGCCGAGCCCCCCGCGCCCGCCTGCACCCGCGCCCCACGGAGCGGCTGCTGGAAGAGTGTGGCCAGCAGGTCAGGGGGGCGATGCTCCCCCTCTGCTCGGCCACATCTGGAATGCTGTGTCCAGTTCTGGGCTCCTCAGCACAAGAGAGACAAGGAGCAGAAGCCACAAAGATGATGAGTGGTCTAGAGCATCTCTCTTATGAGGAGAGACTGTGAAGCTGGACCTCGTTAGTCTGAACAAGACAAGACAAGACTGAGAGGTGATCTAACTCATCAATCCATAAAAATATCATAAACGGGTGTCAGAGGATGGTGCCAGACTCTCTTTGGTCATGCCCAGTGACAGAACGAGGAGCAATGGCTACATACTAAAACAAAAGAAGTTCTGCCTCAACATGAGGGAGAACTTCTTTCCATGGAAGGTGGCAGAGCACTGAACAAGTGCCCAGGGACAACGTGGAGTCTCCCTCCCTGGAGACATTCCAAACCCATCTGCACAGGTTCCTGTGTCACCTGCTCCAGGGGCAGGGGAGTTAGGCTGGATGATCTCCAGAGGTCCCTTCCAACCCCAACTGTTCTGTGATTCTTTCCTCTTTTGCTTCCCCAGCTGTCCCCACCACAATGGATGGATGAGGCCTCACAAGCTGCCCACTTCCCCAGCACAGCGCCTGGGCACCCAGTGGAGTTCATAGAATCCCAGAATGGTTTGGGTTGGAAGGGACCTTAAAGATCCTGGTCCAACACCCTGCCATGGACAGGGACATCCACTACACCGGGTTCTCATCTAGTGAACCCCATGCTCCAGGTGTGGGGGTCTGCACTGGAGACGGGCACAAAGCCACGGAGAAGGCACCTCAGGGCTCGTGGGCAGCTCTGGAGGCAGGTGTCTGCTTGCATGAGTGTTTTGGGGCAAATCCATGAAAAGAGACAAAAATCTCCCCACAAAAAGCTGTGGGACTGAGACTCTGCAGGGCAGGGAGAAGCATTTGTTTGTCCCCTGGCAAGCACTGGACATATGGGTATTTGCATTAAGACAAATGGGTGAACACCATGAATTATGGCAGCATTTCACTGAGAGGTGAACAAATTTTGACATTTTTCAAATAAAATAAAAAAGCAGATGTGTAGTGCACTGGCCTAATGTTGGGTGTGCACTGCAAACACCTGAAGAACAAAGTGCTGGGGTGGTGGGACATCCCCAGTGTCTGGGTCTGCCCACTCCAGGGACAGCCGTTTCCACCCACTGCTCCCGAGGGACATGTGCTGGGCAAGAAAAGACATGAAACTGTCAATACAGTAGCCAACCAAGAGTTAAAAATGTCAATGAAGTAAAACAGCAAAGTAAAATATCCTGCTGCCTTGGAGAAGAAAGAGAGGGAGAAGAGATTGTCTTGTCAATGTAGGACAGGCATCTTCTTGGCTTTGGAAGAAACTCTGATGACAGGGAAAGAGAAATGACAATTGTCCATCTGTGAAGATCTGTCGTTCTGATTTGGGACCATAAATTTTGCTTAGAGATAGTGACTTGGTAATGCTGGCACTGGGACTGTGCTGCCCAGCAGCGGGTGCCTAAAAATGCCTACAAATTACACAATACAGGTTCTGTCAGTGAAAGATGGTTTTGTCTTATCAGTTGTTTAAATGCAGACTTTGGGATTCTTCTGTAAGAAGAATGGATTTTACAGTACAATTATCTGCCCTCATTTTTTTTTTTTTAAAGTTTTAAGTTTTTTTCCAGGCCACATTGACTTTTGGAAGATGCTGTTTAACTTTTCAAATGCAAAACACATGCATGCAATGTTAGCTTAATATTATTCTTTTCCAAAAAAAATTATTAAAAATGGTTCTAAAAATTGTAGCTCTTCCTCTGCTGTCTCTTTATTCTAATATATTTTTGAAAGATGTTTTTAAAATAACCCTCAAAACTGTCTTGTGGTACATTTTCAATGATGCAATGGATTTACAGCTCTCAGGAAACACTTCTTCCCATGCAAGGGAACCAGAATAGCAGAAGTCAATGTTCAGATACTGTGAAACCTCTGTCACCAGCATGGGGATGTTGCAGGGGCCCTGGGTGTTAAATAAAGGCAAGGATGTGTCTCAAAGCACAAAATACTAATGTGCTCCTGGGAATATACCTGGAAAATTTACTTGGTTGGTCTGTGAATATTCTACTGCAGAAACTGTCTTGCATTTAGGGACCCATCCTACCCCTGAAATTAGGTCAGCTCAGATATGAGGGTACATGTGGGAGAACACCAGCCTACAGAGGAGAGCTGTAACTCTGCTCATTGCCAGCATCACGTCGCTTTCTGTGGTTATGGGGAACTGGTATAACAAAGCTGTTTGTTTCTAAGACATTTAGATGAGAACATCTGTTTATAAACACCCGCTAAGATGCTTAATTACAGCTGGGTTTGCACAGTTATGGGTTGGACATTCCTTCTCTAATGAATAGTTCCATATCTTAATGTCATCTTTGATCCAAAATGACTCAATTTTAGATTACTATACCGAATTTTACTCTTCTTGTGAGGGTGATGAGGCCCTGGCTCAGGTTGCCCAGAGAAGCTGTGGCTGCCCCATCCCTGGAAGTGTTCAGGCCAGGTTGTTCGGGGCTTGGAGCAACCTGGTCTAGTGGAAGGTGTCCCTGCCCATGGCAGGGGATGGAATGAGACGAGCTTTAAGGTCCCTTCCAACCCAAACCACTTGATGATTCTATGAATGTATCCACCAGCATGAGCCTGGGAACCCATACAACAGAAGGAAGCAGAAACAGAGTCCATCCTACAGGCTCTTCATGCTGGAATACAGAGGGGCTGGAGTGTGGTGTATGCAGGAGTGAGGTCTGGCCAGGGCAGAATGATTCCTGTTCTCCCTCTCCTGAAGGATGTTTTTCCCTTGTTGCTAAGCACAGCAGCATTCAGTGCAAGGTCGTTGTTGGTGAAACTCACGATCTGTAGCTGTAGCTCTGGTTGTGTTCAATCCGGCATTAGAGTCCATGGTCTGCACATTCCTGCATCCGCATGGATTCTGTCTCTGAGATTTGTTCCCTTTTAAATGTTTTGTATTGAACTGAGTAGATCAAATATGTCAGATATTTTCTGCTTCTCTATATAAAACTGGGAAGAGAATGTTACTGATTTTCACTTCTTCATCTACAAGCGCTACTGAGCCAGGAGGAGCCCAGAGCCCATGGCGTCACACAGGGCAGTGACCAAGGGATGCTCCACTGCCTTTGGCTCACCTGGCACCGGGTAAATCCTTGTGGCTTCACACAGTTATCCTCTGAGGCTGAACAACCCCAGCAAACCACGTTCCCTCATTCTCCTCCAGTCAGAAGTGTTCCCTAGGGCACTCCTACACTGTAAAAATAAATGGAATGTAAAAACTGGGTAAGCTGCGTGTCCTGGCTGTTTTACAAGAGTAACGTGTACCCAATGCGTAACAACTTCAAATGTGTTATATGGTGATGGTCACAATTAAATAAAACCCATCTTTTCTAGTTTATAAAAATGCATTAAATAAGTTAGGTTTTAAAAGACTTGTAATTTTTGTTTTTTCTGAAGCGCTGGTCTGGCAGGAACCCAGCACCCCAGGAGTCCTGGGGAGCCTACAGGGAGGGGTGTTGCCAATTGTCATACAATAGATTTCAAAAATCTATAAATGACCACACACTCCTATGCCACAATGTAATAATATTGCAGAGATAATGAGCCTTGACCTTAATAAACACTAAATATAGACATTAAAATATAGAAGAGCAGTAATTTACTAAATCGTTAATATATAATTATGACTCTCATGGAGGAGATCAGGCGATTCATGGAAGCAAGAGCCACTTTCAGCTTTGTGTACAGCATTCCAAAGGTCAGAAAGAACATCTGAAGCACTGAAGGGAACTCCTGTGGCTGCCAGATGCTGACATAAATCTGCCTGGGGACACTATGGACAATGTGGGGGACCCAGAGATAAGTAGATCATGTCACATCTGAGTTTGAAGCGAGCGTGCAGAACGTACTGCGCAGGAGGCATCCAGATATGGAGTGACGTGGGGACAAAATTAACCCCCTCAAGACTCAAGGAAACAACTGTAAATGATCACTCAGCAGTACGGTCTCAGTATGGGAAATCTCTTTGGTTACGCACTGCTGAGAGCCCAGCAGGAGCAAAACAGACACGTGAGCCCCTGTTGGCAAACACGGATGGGCCACCCTGGGCCTGCACTAAATCATTGCAGAGCTAGAAGCAGCCTAGGAAAAAAGGATTGAAGTTTTTCCAGATGAAGTGATGTGCTCATGGATTAGAATAGCAGCAACTTTCTCTGTGACTCTTCAGAAATCTGTGTATGAGATGGTGCTGCTCAGTGCAGATCCAGTACAGCTGAATGGATCTCCTTTACCGTGGCAGGACAAAGAAGTTTGCAGGCTGAGGGACTGATCTGCCAGCATTTCACTCAAAATACTGGA